CACAAAAGCGACACCATGTCCAAAAACGTACATTTTTTGTAAACCGCTGCAGAATACCGGTAACTTGTCTTCGCGGAGCACAATTTGGCAACACGCGTTCCACACACACACGGCCACAATGCAGCATGCCACACTTGCTATGCTACTTTCTGAGGAGCTGGAGGTGAGGTTAGGACAACTAAACGCCTTGTAGTAAACATTGTAGTAAAAGGAGGTGAAAGTGTAACGGCTATCAAGCACCATTACAGTCCCCCTGATGCGTATTTTGCGCAAACCCCTCCGCGAAAGTGACGGCGTTCCTCGCGAAAACAACGACCTACACAATGCCTAATGTGTCCAACAAAAGAATTAGTCAAGCTAATCGCATCTGCCCCTCAAATTACGCTTTGTAAATCAACTTGCTAACACGCAAAAATCCACTTTTACGCCTGAACAATATGTCTGCGGCTTATCGAAATCTTCCGTTACGCGCCGAGAACTTGACCCTTTTTTTGGGGGGGGGGGGGGGCAAAAAGCTTGCTTTCATCAAACTCAAACGTCGTTCTTCTTTCTTTTCTTAATTTTTTTTTTATCAAGGGACACACATGAGAGCTGCCAAATTTCGAAACTGCCCTCCTCGCGTGGACACACAACGCCGACGGAGCAACTTGTTTGAAGTTACGTGAATTTTTAAACGTGTACATCTTTAAACAACTCCCGAGTGACTTTTGCTGCACTTGCGACCATTTTTGAGTCTCGTTTATTGTCGAGCTGACCTACCGAGTCGACTTGTTCTAACTGTTAAGCGAAGAGTGTCCTCTCGACCGTGGGGTGAAAACAGTGCATTTCTCCGCTCTTTTTTTTTTTTTTTTTTTTGTCATGTCACGGCCAAAGGCGAGCTTCTGGGGGCTACTTACCTCTCGCGCACATAACGCCGGTTTACATACGTGACACACACGTAAAGTGTGTGTCCGGAGCGCGCGGCAACATACATGCTACATGCCAATCACTCCCGTGTTAGCACACGCGCGCGCACACTAGCTAAATTGCCCGTAAACGAAGCGAGAAGGGAGAAAATAAAAAAACAAACAAAAGCCCCAAAAAACAACACACACACACACACACACACACTAGCAACTATGTTGGCCATTATCTATCCCGTGTGTTGCTCGTGAGAAAATAAAAAGGGCAACAACAGTCGCAGTAAATTCTCCAATTTTTGAAGATGTTCCATCAGCGGGGCTTCATGCCACCGCGCATAAAAGTAGAACGCAGGCTATGTAAACATAGTGCTGTGTAAAATCTAACGAGATAAATGAAGATTTAGGGTATATGTTGAAAGTAAAGACTCAGTGTACTTACGGGAGAGGCGGCGAGGAGATTAATGACACGACACGTCATGATTACGTTTCACTTGAATTAAATACATTACGAGTTGGGAAAAAAAATGGAAATCAGGGTTGTATACAAGCATACGCCGTTTCCCCCTCCCTCCTGCCTCCCTCCTTTTGGTCACCCTCTTCTCTCTCTCACACACTCTCTCCTCCTCCTTCTCCTCCTCCATCTCCCTTTTCTTTTCCTTCTCCCCTTCTCTCCTTTCTTCTTGCATTTTCCCCCCATTTATCGTACAGGAGTGAGTGAATAGGGGAGAGTAATGGAGAAGTGGGAGGGAGAGTGATGTAGGTTGGAAATGTTAATTATAATCTCAGCACGGGCTCCATTTTACAACGCTGTCATCTCCTCACATTTGTATCCTAAATATGGCATCTGGGTTGGAGGGTAGCTGACAATTTAGACACTTTTTTTTTTTTTTTTTTGTTGGAGTGGAAAGAGAAGGAGAAAAGTTTCACACCAATTGAAGTGTAGGAAAAGTGATGACAGGAGGCAAGAGGCAGTTTAGATGTGGTGTTGAGCCGTCCCGGAAGCACATGGCCACTGTGTGAATGGGAAGGAACCAAGTGCGCACGTTTGGAAGCGGAACTCCCAATATTAGGCTAGATGACCACTGGAATTCCTCTGGAGGTTTCCAGGGGTCCCTTAACAAATGTGGCAGCTACATGAGGGGCACAAAATCAGTTTAAAAAAACAGAACGTTATCTGGGAAACTGCATTTTAAGAAATAGAAGTTATATTCTCCTATATAAAAATAAATATTTTCAGAAACTAACCAGTCCCTTTTCATGGTAAATATATTTAATTCCATTATGACTTTCAAAACGTCAAGAAAAGGCCATGCTCGCACACAGGCCACATTTTTAGACTTTTAAAACAAATTAAAATTTTAATTGAGCACTCTAATTTTCTGTAAACCGTATGGGCCACTATCAAATATGTTCTTTAAACTAATCAAGTACACTTTGATGCCTAAAGTAAACCGAAAATCAATGCATGGAAGAAGTGAGCGGCCGAGGCAAACCGAACTGGAAACAAAGGCCGTTGTAATGGCGATGTCAGATGGAAAAGAAGAATGAATAGATGTTAAAAGATACCGTGACATGAACGTTTCGCAAACGGCCATAGCACTGGGGTTAGATTCTTTCCACTTCCACATATTGTCTCAATCTTGTAACGCGTGCTTTCCAAATGGCCAGTACCGCTTCTCTCAGTTGGCAGCGGGTATGTTGTAGCAGGTGCACGTCTCCAGCCCATGTACCAGCATCAACACAATTAGCATAAGTAAGTCTCTGCATCATCCTATTTGTCCTGTCATGGGTAGACTGCACTTTGTGGGTGCTCCAATAAATGTCTCAGTTAGAATTACATTTGTCTGACTTCCAGTCTCTGGGCATACGCTTGGCTCATTTGGCTGGGGATCTGACTCTGCAAGCCTCTTCTAAGCTTAAAAAATGAATGTGCTGCAGATTTTCTTCTCGAAAATAGCTCGACGTGTTTCAGAATGAGGATTTAGTTGATATTAGCTGTTGTTGTCAGGCTATTTTGATGGATTAGTAAGTGCAGAGTTTAAATCCACACAAAAGGAATGAAGTTAAGGGTTGGGTTGTGAGAGCAGCAACACTAAATAATTCATTATATTTGTTTGGGGTGAAATGACACGATCAACAATATCTGCAGGCAAAGACTAATCGAGAGCAACAATCACGATGGACTCGAATCAACTGTTTACTCAGGTTTTTCAAACCATATCACTGGTTTTTACTGATTCATATATGAAGAGTTCACTAAAGCATCATGGCAGAGAATAAGATTATATTTCCCATTATTGGAAACGTGAGCCCCCAATGTTGCTTGGAAACATGCAAAGCGGCAAAGAGGAGTTAAAATTATAGGTATGATTACTCACTTTGATAATTAGGGGATAATGATATGTTAATTAAGAGTAAATCAAACCAATTGGGTCTCTTACAAGCCTTACTTAAACAATGAACATGATGCTTGCATCCCACTGAAAGTGAAACTGTGAACTAGTAACAGATAAACTAGTCAAAAAATGATTTGCAGTACTTGTGATTCTTATCATGTTTTTTATATAGCAATTTAGATCTAATATTACTCTTTGTCATGCAGTGTGACAAGAATCCCCAAGTATTCAAACAAAAATACAGAAACAATAAGAGATTTATCTGTTTTGCCAAGTCTAACATGACACTTGACAAAGTTGGTTCATTCTGACCGTAACCACAACTGTGACTGTGGCCTTAAAACGATCTGCTTCTGACTGGTTTAGAAGTAGCCCAGCCTTTGCTGTGCATGTTACTGGGCCTGAAACTGCCCCAGCAGGCCAAGATGAGGGGTTTCCCTAGTTCACAACTTTTGGTTTTCACACTGTTTTTGCTTTAACGTCTTGTGTCACACTCTAGCAAAGACATAACAATAACTGGGGAAAACAAGTTTGGAGGAGAAATAAGGCTAAAAAAATACTGGTAGATGCAGTAAGGCTACATTAAAAAAAAGAGATTACATGTGAGAGCGAGATACAGGGCGGGAATAAACCTTAGATAGGATTCTACTGCGGGAGAGTTTAGAAAAAAAAGAAGGATGACAGACAGATGCCGCCTTAGCCTTGTTGCTGATGGCATGTTTTAAATGATTCGCTCTCTTGCTAAGTGTTTTACCACCTTTGGTTTCCTGGGCTCTGTCAGTAAATAAGGAGACTGAAATAAAAGTCTGTTTTATATCATGTTAGAATGCAGCCCTTACCTTCTCTGCTGAGGAAGGAGGCTCAGGATGCAGTTGATTTTGCAATGTGGCAGTGAAATATGATTGTATCCTGAAAATATTTACTTAATGCTTTGTTTAGTAGGACACAGCTTCTTCGTTGTCTTCTTCTTCCATTTATCTGGGTTTTAAATGTAAGTCGTGGTAAGTTTTTGGAAATTTCTTGACAAAGTCTTAAAGTTTGCCCACCAATGAAGATACAAGACCAAGACAATTCGATCAATGTACAATGCAAATGACAGCTTTCATACATGTTCTACATTACAACTCTTAGTAAACTTAAACTTAAAAGTTTTTTGTACTTAAAAAAATATCTGTTGGTACTAAATATATATTTTATAATGTAAAAAAGATATCTAATTAAATCCTGTAACTGTCACTTTCTGGTGGCATCTTCGACATGATCACACATTTCTGCATAACAGCCTGTGCATGTGCAGAGGTTTATTTTTCTAAAAGTATTTATAACCCACAACTGTAAAAGCAGGCCGTGAACGAAACTGGCCAAACACCAAAGTTACATTAATGACTAATTCAAACTATTTGTGGCTGAGATCACCCACATTGTATCATCTTGAGTCATCAGTGGGAGGGTGGTAGAACAGTCAAATGACTGTTTAAAGTATAGTACAAGATGAGACCCCTGAGACCAGTATGCGATCTATCACATGAAGGACCACTGGTTCACAAAGGTCCCAATATGAGAAAGAATTTAATTATCCTCAACAAAAATACATGGAGGAATTTGTACCTCAAGCTGTGTTTGTATCTGCGTAGAAAAAACAGAGGAAGGTTATTGTAGTAAAGGCACTATTTCTAGCTATATTCATGATAATGGTATGGCAAATATTGTACAGGTTAATAAAACAGCATACCAGCAGTTCATTTAAAATCACTTGTTGGTTATAGCACCAATAAACCCACATACAAACAGCATTTGAACCAGGAATCATCTTGCTTTGAGGCAACAGTGCCAACAACCTCATTATCATTCTATAACCTTCTTGAATGGTTATCCAAACTTCTAGTGTCTCTAAACCTTGTTGTGTTGAATTACAAGACAGCCTTTTGATGTCACTGACAATGACCATTCAACAGGCACCTGGCCCCCTCTAAAATGACCTACTTGTTGGGGCATTTGTCTGTTGGGCGGTTGGCAGGATGGTGTGGTTGTTAGCTCTGTTGCGTCACAGCAAGTAGGGGTACCAGTTCCAATCCCCGGGGGTATAGATGCCTTTCTTTGCGGAGTTTGCATGTTCTCTCCAGGTACCCCGGCTTTCTCCCGTGGTCAAAGAACATGTACTTGAGGTTAATTGGAGACGGTAAATTTCCCTAAAAATGAACGTGAGACTCTGGTTGTGTGTTTCTATCCGTCCCGGCTATGAAGTGGCGACCTGTCCGGGGTGTATCCCGACTCTCGCCAAATGAAAGCTAGGATATGCCAGCCCCCTCCAACCCCACTGAGAATGAATGGAATTGACAAAGTTGGACTGAGTTCCTCTTGGGCCTGTCATTGGAAACGATCGCTTTCACATTAGTTGCTGTCTTTGGATTCAAAGTATGCGGAACGCTATAGTTTAGATATTTCAACCCATGTAGAGTAGTGAAACTGCATTCTGGAGGTCACTCACCCTGTCATTATGTGGCAAAAATGATACTTGGATGAGAGCGTGCAGGCAAGTCAGGGGTGAGTGTTTGTATCACTGGTTTTGGGATCTTCATACGTATCTGATTTAAGTCAGTCTTGACTTGGGAGGAAGCCATTTGAATTCTCTCTGAAAGCTGTAATCTATTATCGTTGGCCTTGAGAAAGTTATTTTGACGCAGTCTTGATTTTGCTCAAATATTTTAAAAGGATCTTTGCCCTCACCATTATCTGCTCCGGCTGACATCGATCCCGTCTCTGTTTTCCCCCGAAGTTTGTTCTCGCATCCATCTCTCCGAGCAGCTGGCTTGGTTAAGTGAGCATACTGTTTAAGGCCAAACGACAACAACCTAAAAGCTGAGAGTCAAATATAGCACAACGCTTCTCCCGAGTGCTTGGGTGCGCTCGGAGAAGCAAAGCCCACACTCCACCGGGCTCTCAGCCCCTTTATGAACAAGAGTTGCGCAGTGAGATTAAAAATGAATTGCAACAACAAAAAGTCTAATGAGAGCTGAGTTGTCCCTCTTTACATTTGATCTACCTCAAACTCCTGTTTAAATGCCTTGCATTTTCCCCCTTCCAGCTCTCACTTATTCATGACACACTGAAGGAATCGGTTAATAAATGAAAGTGGGAATGTTTTCCGGCTACGGGCCCTGCTTTTTAACAT